GTGGAACTAGCTGCTCCAGCAGTGTTCTCGAAGACCTCGATATAACATCATCGGGGTCAGAAAGATTCACTGCTTCTCCAAAACGCGTGGAGAGGAAGAGGATTCAAACGCTCCATGTGTTTGATCGTCGAATCTGGGACTTAATCCCAACTCCCACGGACGATGAGTTGGAGGAGCTTTTCCCGACAGCACCATCGCCAAGCAGCAACTCGTCACAAGAAGCCGACGAGGAGGAGGAGGAGGAGGAGGAGGAAGAAGAAACCCAAATTCTGGCCGCAGTTGTGGCGCTCTTCACTGCCATGGAGAGCGCCGAGACCGTGAGCAGGTAGAGGGCCGCCAATCCTGAAGGTAAGCGCCAGCGTGGAGTGCTCATTCATCAGAGTAGTAACATATAGAATTTTTTGTTTTAGGCCCCCGGATAGTTTTTATTTATTTGATAGCCAACGAGCACAAAACCCGCGCTCTTGCTGGAAGGAGAAGACCCTCTACCTAGGTCCTTTTAAGGACCACCAAAAATACTCAAGTCTGTTTGGATATGGTATGATACAAAAGGGTACTTTTGAGAAAATATTTTGTTCCAAAATTACATCAATATAGCAATAAAAAACATAAGATCACAAACTGAAACAGCATGGACCCATATTATTATGCACTACTCGAGTACTTTCACAGTCACTGATGGTGGGATTTCATACCCACACAACCCTGACCATCTGCACCTCTGAGGGCTCACATGGATGAGGTAACATCTAGCCTACCCTCACATGGCACCACTACACCCCTTCCTCGCCTGGCGGCATGGCATAAAGGTTACAGCCGATGGAACCAAAACTTAATACTTGATAGTTTAGTTTCGATCAGGGCTGAGTTAGTGGGCGAAGCATTTCCATCTTAGATAGTCAACAAAACCCTCGAAAGGGAAGGAACTTCTTTTTTCAACGTTAGACAGGTTCTGTTTTATAGGGGTAATTTATAGATGAATTTTTCAAATTAAATTCAAATAGAAAGGGGGTGGGGGGCGGACGAGAAGATTCCGTTATCGCAGGTTTCCGTAGTGCGGTAGGCCTTCTGCCCAGGTTTACCCGCTACAAGCGACTGGTAAGCTGCCAAGTAGGTGTGGTATGACAAGTGGCCAAAATGGCGGCTTGGAACCTGCCTTTCAGCAGGCTCAGAGACTCAGAGGAAAACGTCAACAAGATTTTTTTACTATTATTATTGTCTTGCGAAACATGATATCGTCTGAAGATGAATTTATGCTACTGGACAGTTCGTTATTTTTTAGGTCTGTGAAGAAGACAGGAGTACATAATGTACACCCAATAAATAGAGGAAGACGGCAATTTGGTGAATACCACCATCTTTTCTGTGAATTGAAAAAGGACCCCCCTCTAGATTTCATGAATACGCACGAATTCTGAGGACACTTTTGAATATATTATATTAAAGAACATTAAATCACGACTGGTGTAATCTTTATTATCCAATATTGCTAGAAAGGGCTAGTTATTACATTGAGGTAAGTGGAAGTGCTATGTCACTATTTTCAGTTTAAAATGTTCTAAATCATTATAATCATATCACTTGCAATCATCATCACCCCCCCCCCCCCGATCTCTCTCTCTCTCTCTCTCTCTCTCTCTCTCTCTCTCTCTCTCTCTCTCTCTCTCTCTCTCTCTCTCTCTCTCTCTCCCTCTCTCTCTCTCTCTCTCTCTCTCTCTCTCTCTCTCTCTCTCTCTCTCTCTCTCTTATCAAAATAACGAAATTAATTCATGCTAACGTGATTGATACAATTCGACCATGTGCAGTGTGGGGCCGATAAGTAAAGCACACAACAATTTGAAAAAAAAATTTAAACGAGAAAAGTTACTGATTTAATTATGAATCACACGTATTAGCTTTTTTGTTTCAGATAAAGCAAAACATTCATGTCCGGTGTAGAATTTTTGCATTAAAAAAAAAGAACAATCACTGCCCAGCCAAAATGTATGATCACTAGCCTATAACCCAAAGTTCGTTTAACGAGAACAAAAGAAATTAGGCTACAAAACAAATGATTTGAAAAGAATTAATACCCGCGAATGGTGGTGGGCAAGAATTGCCAAGACATTCCGGTAAAATTGCCTGCGCGGGTTGCCCATAACAAACTGCTGGTAAGGCGCTTTAACTTCGGACGGTTTTTGAACTATCTCAAAGCGGGCATCTAGTGCAGGTCAACCCAATGATTATCAATACGGGGGCTGCCCAGTTTGTCACAGGCCCAGTTTGTCACAGGACGAACTACATTTTGTCCTAGGTCTAGTTTGTCACAGGCCCAGCAGTTTATCACGTCAATTTCATTCAAGTATTTGAGTATTGATGACAGTCAAAATTACAGCACTTCAGCACTGTAGACGTAACTTAAGTTTTTTAAATTTATTCTCCACCTTCAAATTTGTGTTGTAGAGATAGTCCCTCTTAAATATCAATTCAGCTTGTGTTGTTCAATATTTCTTCCTTAGTGTATGCAAAGCAAAGCAAATTACTCAATAAAAATTTCAGCAATGAATGTTCTTTCATTAAAAACAGTTGAAAAAAAAATCAATTCATACTTTCAATCAATCATTCATTGACTCTTTTTGAGAGTGTCAGTGAAAACTTCCATCATGCAGGGTACAGTCGAGGCGGGGTCGTGGGCCTGTGACAAACTGACATGCTTCCATAAAAATCATGATAATGCAATGGGTTGAAAATTGTGCGCGCTCACGAAACTCCCGGGGGGGATGGCCGACGGTCAACCGACGGCCAACTGCTGACCTGCTTCCTTATCAGCACACACCTGGTGCGGGTAGTGTAGCTCGTTGTTCCATGGTTCGGGGACATTAAAAAACTTAAAATAATGTTGGTTTGAAGGTGAAGGCTTGCGTGTGACCAAGGCCCAAACAACCAGACGGTTTTAGAACACTAAACTAAGTCTCACTCCCGAAAAGCCTTTTTTTATCACGAGGGTGATAACATCACAGTCCTCTTTGACCCTCCTCATTAATTCGATCTAATAATTGACCTACCACAATTTCTGTGGGCCTACTCATCACGATGATATTTACTGCGAGCTGGGCAGTTATTGAAATTTAAATAAAAAAGACAGTGCTTTATGTTTGTTCAGGGTGGCACCCAAGTAAACCAATGTGTGTCAAGTTTTGGACGACAATAAGGGTTTGTTTGGCTGTGCACGTGCTGTAGTCACAGTTTATCAAAAGCAATTGGGACACTATGTATCTCGGAATAAATCCTTTGTCTGACATTGCTATATCTGATTTCTGTAATGAATTTGATGATCTTTTCAACGTTTTCAAATGGTCACTCGTAGAATATCGTAACCCAATCACAACTACATCACAGCACCATGAATTACTGCAGCCGACACATCTGCGGTTGAAAGATAATTCATGAAGTTTAGCCCAGAAAGCAAAAAGAAAGTTGCAAAAGCATTACTTTGAGTCAGTGAGTGGATCTACGGCATCACTGCTTTGCAAGGTCTTGTGGCAGACATTGTGAGCTGCAATGGGGGATTAGTGATATCAAGATGCACTTGAAAATATGTTCTCAGTCACCAGAGGAAAAGGTGGACATATCTTGACAACCCAGACCCCCACCCAACGGTTCCATTTTCTTTTGAAGAGACAGATAATGGTCGACAAAATTATGATCGCATCGCCTTCAAGCAATTGCTAGGGTGCAGCGGATAGCTTTTTGATAACGAGTAAGAATTTCAGTCAAACAATAGTTGCAATTCCGGTAGACCTTGATAAAGAACACAGACACATTGTTAATTTTGTTAAATTTTGCAATACATTAAAGCACTTAAAATGCAATTTCCGACGTAAATGGATACACTTTGAAGAAACTTTAAAATGTAGTCTACATGCAAGGACTGTACAGGAATATCAGAAGATATTCCTCATCTTCCCATGCAAGGCACCTGACCCTCATCAGCCAGAAACAGTGTTTTTTTAACATTAATTGTCGTCACGGTGGCTTGAAAAAGCCAGTTTTAAACTAGTGGAATTTGTTGGTTTGTTTGAAGCTGTTTTTTTAAACGCATTTTAAACCTTTGATGAGGAATCTTCTGATATTCCTGTACATGTGTTCAACACTTTCCTGTTTTCAATAACGTTTGGCCCCTGGAGCATTTTCAACTTTAGATTATGTCTACTGTGCGCTCTGTTCATCTTTACTTTACTTTTACTTTTATCCGCCGCTTATACCCTTTTGGGTGTCGCGGGAAGAAAGAGACGTCTCTCTGTCGCCAGCCGGAGAGCTTGGTTCAGGGGGATGCCGTGGGTGTTTAATGTTTCCCTGACTCCATCTATCCAGGTCTTTCTCGGTCGCCCTCTAGCCTTGTCGCCATCGGATTTTCGCAGGTAGGCACGTTGTTCATTTTTACTAACTGACTACAAGGACCTCGGAATAAAACCTTTCTTATCTAGATTTCAGTGCGTGAGTCGGGCAGTCGTGCATCGCAGGTAGACCATAGTTAATTATAGGGCCTAATATGTTCTGCTGCGAGAGAGGGCTCCTATCAGGCGAGCGGTGCCGCCCACAGAGCATCCTCTACTGTAACCTCCTTGGAGTGCATCAATACCAGTTTAATCAATGGTTTAATTAGGCTAAGGTCATTGGCTACTCAGCCAACAAGATAGCCGACAAGGTCCACATAGAAACAGTTACTGACAATCCTCTAGTAGCCTACTCGTAATGAAAGTCAACACTGACATTTTGATTATTGATATAAAAAAATATTTTAAAAATACTTACGAGTACTATATATATGATCTATGTAAAAGGAAAAAAAACGTTTTTTAGACCAATTTCAAATAGAGAAGTAAATTAATTGGTTGCTTCAAGATTGCAAAATAAAAGAACCTGGAAATTCAAACATGGGCGATATCAGAGAGTATTTAATTATATTTTAGTGTCTCTGGCGATATGATAAAAATCAGGAGTAGATCTACAGGAAGTTGATCCACATTGGGTTGCTTTCAAAACAAATTTTATACGTCGTTCGGCGTTCGATTGTCGAACTGTGGACTGGTAGTGTGGTGGTAACCTGTGGTCCAGTGGTAGAGATCTGACTGAACGGATCTGTCAATTTATTTTCTATTTATCTAGGTTAGATTCTAGATCAAGAATCTAGAGAAATCTAGATTCTAGGTCTTCATAGCCTGGATTTAATTTTGTTCTGTTGCTGCCTCACTGAAAAAGACCACTCACAATGTCGGAGAGAAAAGTGTTGAACGTAAGTACCGTCGAACCTGCAAGCCCCCCTGAAACCCCCCTACTCTTGGGGCCAAAACCCGTGAATAACAATTGCGGGGTGGGAACTACCGAAAAAGCGCCATAAATCTTATGTGCCCGAAGGATGAGAAACTACGGATTTTATTATGTTACAATCCGGGCACCCCCCCTTTGGGCAAAAACGGCGAGATTAAAATTTAAACGGCAAATTCTCTTTCATCCTTGACAGGGCCTCATATGCAAATAACTCTCCAGCCTTCAGAGTCTACCAAAACGTAGAATCTAGG